AGTGTTTGATGAAATGCTGCAATGAGTCTTTTAGAGGATTTGTTCACTTAGCCTAAGGAATTAGATGTCTAAGGTGCATTTTGGCTTTATAGGATTGGATTTCTGTTTGAATACTTGTTAATCATCTATTTCAGTAATGGAAGTTATCTGATTATATGCTTATCAAAGTGATTAGTATCAAGAAATTGAGCTAGTTATAGTTGTTAATCATATGCCTAGAAGATAGCATTGTTTGAATAGTTTTGAAACATCACTAGTTTAGTTCTAATCTCCTCTTAGTCAATAACCCCCATCTTAGATCCTTTCTTTAATCTATTTGAATTTTCTGCTTTGAATTTGTGCTGCTTAGTCTTGTTTAGTTTGATCACACTTGTTTCCTTGATTTTGGCTTAACTTAAGTGAACTGCTACATTCTTAGTTACTTACATGCCCAGATGAATTGACACCTTTCATACTGCAATGACATGAGTGTGTTAGGATTTGAATAGCACAGAAACCTGTTATCAAAGTATTTACGACGCAATACATTTTTTGGGAACAGTAGAGTTGTTTCAAAAATGGTAGACTTAAAAATAAGTTGTGGTAGATTTTTTGTTTTCGACCCTTCGCTGAGGGAAATCCGTGGTGATGGTTGGCTTTTTCTGTCCATTGACTTTATATGACGGTAGATTTGTTGGTGAAATTGGTAGATTTATTTTCTATTTGGTAGATTTATTTGTTGTGGTGGTAGATGTTTTGGTCATCTTATACCATATTATACAGTAGGAAATAGACGCTATTAGAACTCAAATCTAAGCAGGTTGTACAGAAGGAAAAGGTAGCAGTCGTCGCAACACATTAATGAGTATTTGAACTTACAGCTTGGAAAATCTTCTACTTTGAAAACATTGGGCAACAAATCTGCAGTAGCACTCTGCATTCCCTTCTTGGTTCGAGAAACCTGTTCACCTAGTTCGATCATGTAGTGCAAGCGTGATCTCCACCCTCCAATTGTTTCCAACATCTCTAGTGCTATTGGATAGTGGCCATATGCCGTTACGATAACAATGACCATCAATGTTGTTTGGTCTATCCCGGCTTTGGAAGCCTTGTTGAAAAGTCTGAGCGAATTTTCAACGTCGTGGGCTATAGATATTGTCTTCATCCCGTGCAGGTATAACGCATAAGGATTGTCAGATGAGATAGCCAAATTGTAGAAGCGAGGAAAGTGGTCGAGCAGAGTTGTATCAGCAACGAAGTCTGATAGGTTTAGTGCTTGCATTACAGATGGTTCTTTAAATGGTGCATTTAGTTGTTTTGACACACATGCTGCACGACATGCATCCTTAGCAGAAACTCGTCCCACTCTCTGAAGAATCATCCCAAGTAGGTCTCTTATTTGGTGGAGTCGATCATGTGTTTCCATTTTGCGTTGATACAGAGAGAGTATCAAACGCCTGAACCATCAAGTCTACCAACACTTTATCATCACAAAACAAGTCTACCAACACGTTTACCATCGCATCTACCACCAAAACAGCAAGTTCTTATCATGAAGTCTACCATCAATACACAACAAATGTACCATAATGTTACCCTAACAATTCACTGAAAACAGAAAATTTAAAATCCGATTACCTTTTCGCGGTTCACTTTCACAATATTCATCGGATTCGGTCGCCTACTTGTTGTCATCCTCACCGGATTTCTGTTAAATGAAAACAATAGTCCGTTTAGAAACTTACCAAAACAACAAATTCAACCAATGAAAGCAAATAAGTCTACCAATGAAAAGTCTACCATCAAATAAGTCTATCCGGTTACCTTTTCCACGCTGTACTTTCTCTATCCTCACCGGATTCCGTCGCCTTCTCCTCCTCGTACTCGCTGGAATTCTGCTAAATAAAAATAAAAGTCCGGTTATAAACTTCGACAAAAACTCTAGATCTACAAATCCAAAACCAACGTTACCATCAATCTGCTACTCCCGAAGTCCCGAAAGTTTACAGTAATTCAAAACGCAAATGTTGATCATAAACACCGATTGTAAACACTGGTCTACCCAACATTAAGTTCTTACAAAAAACAAATTGTTATCACTTAGAAAACAATTCTAATACCATTCTGTTTTACACGATTATTTTAAAATAAATTTACCACTAATGATGAATTATTTTTTATGTTATAAATAACCCTACTGTGATATTCACAAAAATCCAAAAAGTCTACCATAATTCGAAATGAAAATATCGATCGTAAACACTGATTGTAAACGTTGGTTGCAAATATCAGTTGCAAACGCTAGTCACAAACGCTCATTGTAAACGCTTCTTACAAACGTTATTTGCAAACGCCGGTAAGTGCTGCTCAAGTTTCGTTCAGATGATCGATGACCCGTGGATTGGCCAGCTTTTAGATCGGAGTTAGATTATTTATTTTTGCTTATGACCTCATTTGAGAAATGTATTATTTGTTTTAGTTCTCGCTATTTGCAAATGACGGTCAAAGTGCTGCTCAAGTTTGGTTCAGATGATCAATGACCCGTGGATTGGCCAGCTTTTAGATTGGAGTTAGATTATTTATTTTTGCTTATGAACTTATTTGAGAAATGTATTATTTGGTTTATTTTTCATAGCCAAAATGTTTGTGCTGATACTCTCGCTAAAACAGCAAGAGCACGAAAATTTATCTTTTTCCATGTAAATCAGATTCAATTAATGAAAATAGAATCTTCAGAGACCATAACCATTAACCAAAATTGACTTAGTTTATGGTTGTTTGTTAATAAAAAAAGGTGCCGATAGTAAATACCAATTGTAAATGCTAGTTTAGATAATATTTTTTTAATATATATTTTTATTTTTAAATAATATTTTGTTATTAAATTTTTAATTTTTTTAACAAATTTTTAATTATACATAATAGAAATTTCATAGATTAAACAAAACAAAAAAAAATATTCAAGCTTTTTCACACGTTCTTTAAGTTTTCATACTATAAAAAACTATTCTACTAATTATAATACTTTCCAAGATTATTCTAGCTAATTTTTCTAAAATCTATTATACGTCTCAACATCTTTCGTTTAGGTTAGTAATCTATTGTAGTCAGGTATGCAAACTTATTTTAAGTTGATCGAGAATCTCCTAAAACCAACTAGTCATTCACGCATGTACTTTCTCACAAACTAGCTGCATTTCTCAAAGAGCATAAGCTTAGGAAAAAAAAATATTCAACTAGTTTCATAGTTATACGCAACTATCTAAAGTCTAATCACTAAAAAAAAAAAGACCCAAAAGAAAAGGAAAAAAAAAACCAAGGCGACTGTAAAAAAAAGCGGTGACCTGTGTGAGCAAAAATAACAACGCCTGAGAAAGTTACCGTTTTTGAGTCAATCTCCTATACAAGCAACCAAATTGCTTTATTGCATGTACGCACACACAACCCATTTTCTCCTCCGCATAAGATTCCTCTCTGCCCATCTGATTCGCTTGCTGACTCACACACCCCTCTCTCTCTCTCTCCACTGTAGAAAGACGTTTTGTTTGATCCTCTCGCGTAACTCCAAGTTCAAGCACCCTCTCTCTCTCTCTCTCTCTCTCTCTCTCTCTCAATTCGCCTTCTTTAGGTATCGCCGTTACTCCATCTTCTTTTGCTCTGCTGTTTCTTGGGTTTTTGTTTTTTTTCCTGGGCTTCTACTTGTGTGAGAAAAGTCACTAGATTCGGTAATTTTAGGTCGAATTTCAGTTGGGTTTCTTTTTCCTTTCCATAAAAATCTCTCCTTTTTTGATGTTTGTTCACACTTTTCGGTTTCATGAGGTTCTGAATTTCGATTACTTCACAAAACTCTTTGATTTGTTCAGTTAGTAACTTTGTTTATGTCCCTTGAATATAATCTCTCGCTCAATTTCTGGGTTTTCCCTGGACTTCCGATTTTTCACAAAAGTTGCCTTTTTTGTGTGATTCTGATTGTTTCTCATCTATTGGTTGATGCAAACTGGAACTTGGTTCTGATGCGTTTGTCTGAAAGTTTTACTTTTTTCATCAGGAGTTTATCTCTAGAATTTCTAACAATGTAACAGGTAGCTAAATTAAAAGAATAGGTCAGATTGCATTATGATTTGCCCTTTAATCTCTCTGGAATTGTAGCTAGATATTGGCTTTTAGATTGTTTCGTGAGCTTTGACTGTGTTCTTTTATTGATCTTATGTCTTCTTTTACTTGTGTTTGTATTGGTAGCAACATAAGCTTGTTCCTTTTGTATCTCAGTACTCATATGGTCTTTTCTCAGTGTTCATTGCCTTGAATTTATGTATTCCATTTCCGTTTCTCAAGTTTTGAGGGAATGATCATGTCTAGCTAATAGCAACTATCCTGCAATGTATTTTTTTCAAAATTTCGATGCAATTTGATGATAAAGGGCAACGTTTCTTCTCTCATATTCAGCATGTATACAATGATACTTAAACACCTTTGCATTAGATAATTTATTGAAACAAATGGCTTGCTATACAGTATCACTGAGACTGTACTGGTATCTTTAAAGAAAATATCAGATTTTCCTATCATTTTGGTAGTGCTCGTTCACTAAATCTAGTTCAATCGGTAATCTTTTTAGTACTATATGATCTATTGAAGCGGTTTTGTGTTTTTTTTGGTAGTTTTGTTAAAGTTAAGGATGACGAATATGAATATAACCTAGAAGCTCTCTTTGTTGAATTCAAAAACAATAAAAATGGAACACTAAAATGTAGAACACAGTTCCTTCGGTATAAACACTCACCAACAAGTCCTCCCTTCCTATTTATAAGAAGTCTTTAAAACACTCAATTAAAGAATTCATTTTCTAATTAACAGATTATCATCCTTGTTGATGCATCCTTCTGTGGATTTGAAATTGAAACTATTCTAGTATTTCTATCAGATTTATGTTGTTTCTTAGTCTAATTTGTGCAAGATATTATTTCTGCAGGCTGTAAATCTAATTCTGTAACTTTTTTTTTTGCAAGTAAGCTTGGACAATGGGTGCATCAACATCTAGGATAGATGAAGATAAAGCCTTACAGTTATGTCGGGAAAGAAAAAAATTCGTCCAACAAGCACTCGATGGAAGATGTTTGTTAGCCGCTGCTCATGTTTCATATGTCCAGTCTCTTAAGAGTACAGGAACTGCTCTTAGGAGATTTGCTGAGACTGAAGTTCCAGTTGAGTCTTCCTTGTACACATCCACTAGTGCCACACCAGAACAAGCTCTTGCTTTAACAGAGAAATCAGTTTCTCATTTGTCTTACTCTCCTCCACCTGCTTCACATTCTCACCACGACACGTATTCTCCTCCTCCTTCACCTCCTAGTTCCACTTCTTTCCATGTTAATCATATGAAGTTCAAAGGCTTTTCTTCAAAAAAAGTTGAAGAGAAACCTCCGGTTTCAATTGTCTCCACTGTTGTCGCCTCGTATAGTATCCCACAAAGCAGGTCTATGGAAAAGATGGAATCAACTCCATTTGAAGAATCTTCTTCCTTGCCATCTGAAACACCTCCTTGGGATTATTTTGGTCCTTCCCATCCAATTGACAAACAGTTTTCTTCTTCTCATGTTGGGAATGGGAATGGTCATGTGTCGAGGTCTGTTAAGGAAGAAGATGAAACTACAGAGGTGGAGGATGAAGGTGAAGACTTTTCTTTTCAAGAAAGGGAAGAGTCCAGAGATTCAGACGGTGAGGATGAGTTTGATGAGCCTACGAGTGATACACTTGTTAGAAGCTTTGAAAACTTCAATAGAGTGCGTCGGGATCACAGTGCGGAGGGGGTGGAAAACGAGTCCTCAGACGCCGAGAAAAGTAAAACTCCTGAGTTGTCACCACCAGTGACGCCATTAGCACCTGCTACTCCAGTGAACAAAACACCAAACAAGGGAGATCGAGATCACGCCGAGAACAAGCTTTCTACTAGGGACTTCTTGTCAAGCATGAAAGAGATAGAGTTGCTCTTTTTTAAAGCTTCAGAGACTGGAAAAGAAGTTCCAAGGATGCTTGAAGCTAATAAATTGCATTTCCGTCCAATAGTTCCATCAAAAGAAAGTAAGAACATTCATCTATTGAAGGCTTTAGTTAAATTAATTGTTTTTTTGCTTCTCTGTTTGAAGAACAAACAATTGCTCAACCACATATCTCTGCATTTGTAGGTGGCTCAGGTGCATCATCATTGTTCAAAAGCTGTCTCTCTTGTGGGGAAGACCCCAAGGATGTACCAGAAGAAGGTAATAAATTTTACTTATTTATAATTTTGGTTTTAACTTTGATGGAGTGGTTACAGTTTGAGCTGTTTGTTGCAGAGCCTGCTCAGAACTCTCAGAAATTCTTGACCTGGCATAGGACTGAATCTTCTCGGTCCTCGTCTTCTCGGAATCCTCTCGGAGGAATGAATGTTGATGATGTGGAAGAGCTCAATAGCAATTTCTTTGAAAACATTTGCATGATTGCTGGAAGCCATGCCTCAACTCTAGACAGGCTGTATGCTTGGGAGAGGAAACTCTATGATGAAGTTAAGGTACTTATATAGTTCCATAAACCAAATTAACAAATCAAGGAAATGCACTCAGAGTAATTAATGTGTTCTCTTTTGTTTTCTTTTAATCCGGTTTCAGGGGAGTCAAAGTGTGAGAAGAGAGTATGATGAAAAGTGCAGAGTCCTGAGAGAGCTTGAATCAGAAGGTAAAGGTTCACAAAGAACAGATAAGACACGTGCCGTTGTCAAGGACCTTCACTCAAGAATAAGAGTGGCGATTCATAGGATCGACTCAATATCAAGACGGATTGAAGAACTCCGTGACAAAGAGCTACAGCCTCAGCTTGAGGAACTCATTGAAGGGTATGTTGTAAGACCACTCTTCAGTAAACTCGGTTCTTGAATTTCAAATTTGACTCAAATGTTGATATTTATCATTTCTTGGATGTGAATAGATTGAGTCGAATGTGGGAAGTGATGTTGGAATGCCACAAGGTTCAGTTTCGGTTAATCGCCGCGTGTCACAGAAGCGGAAATATTAAACTCAACATGCAATCTGAGTTACACAGACAAGTAACATCTCACCTTGAAGATGAACTTAGCGCGTTGGCCTCAAGCTTCACAAAGTGGATCACAGGCCAGAAATCATACATCAAAGCGATAAACGAATGGCTGGAGAAATGTGTCGCCGTACCAAAACGACCTTCCAAGCGAAAAAGGCGTGCGCCACCATTGTCTCTGAGAGACTTTGGTCCCCCTCCGATTTATGCAACCTGTGGAATCTGGCTTGAAAAGCTTGAAGCTTTGCCAACCAAAGAGGTTTCTAGCTCCATTAAAGCGCTTGCTTCTGATGTTTCCAGGTTCTTGCCGCGGCAGGAGAAGAATCGCAACAGGAAACATCGATCTGGTGAGAACAAAAACGATCTGACAAGTCACAGTTTGCAAGATGAGACATTGGAAGATTGTGGTCCTGGTTTTGATCGGTTTAGGACAAGCTTGGAAGGATTTGTTGGTCAACTTAACCAGTTTTCAGAATCATCAGTGAAGATGTATGAGAAACTTAAGCAGGGAATCCAAGAAGCCAAGAACAAGTATGAGCAGATGAAGCCAAGAACTTAAACTAATATTTTTTTCTGGGGAAAATCTGAGTTTTTGGCAGGTCAAAATTTTGGAGAGAAATTTGGGTTTGGCATTTGTAAATGCAAAAGAGAGATTGTAAGAAGAATGTGGAAGATATTTGTTATTACAGCTTGTGCCTTTGTGGGCAAATCAAAATAAATATGGTTTTAGCTTGTCCAACTGTTTGCGAACATATTTCTAGTCACTTAAAATATTGTTACAACTTTAAATATTTAGGTTAAACATTTAGAATGATTATTGCTTAATGAAGAATTGAAATGGTTAAGCAACTTAGGAAACACAGAATTGAAACGACAATCAAACCTCAAACCCATTGTCAGTTTTGTCTTACGGAGAGTGTTTCCAAGACTTACCTTACTCGACTAAGCACATTTTACATGCCAAATTCATGAAATTTCCAACGAAGTCCGGTTTTTCTGGACAATGATTAACAGTGAATGACATAGAACAGAAGCAATAACTTCAATCTACCGAGACTAGTCCTAAGCTGCAATTTGTGTTGGCGGGTAAAGATCGGAGTCTTGACCGGGAAATTGAAGTTTACAAAGTTACAACTGAACAAATGTCTTTATATATATATTAAAACATCATTCGAATAACTAGCAACTGTAAATTAGTTAACAAAGTTGCATACGATTGACTCAATAATTGAACTTTGTAGACTATACCTTACTACACATTTGTTCGCATAGACATGATAGCTTGCATAACTACACTATTTCAAGCTTCATTTAATATAGGTTTTCATCTCATTTCATATATTTTATAATTCAAAATGTCTTGTTTGCATTCATATTAGATAGTGTGTATTAGGATTAGGAACGCATGCACTGTTGCATTTGAAGTGTATTCCAGATCTTTATGGAGCTTAAGAGGCGACTGGAAGAATGTTAATTGAAGTGGAGAAGAAGAGCTAAGTTGAAAGTAAGTGATCAAGGCATTTTGAGCCATATCGAGCAGCTGTACTGCGGAGAGCACGTTTTCCTTACTCGATATCCGAAGTCACATGACATACCGAACAGCTGCACCGTGGAGAGCACTTTCTCCTTGCTCGATATCTGAAGTCACAGGACATACCGAGCAGATGCACCATGGAGAACACTATATACCATGCTCGGTGCAACTGAATGCAGGAAATATATTGGTCAGGACGAAGGCTTTCCACTACCATTTAGCCTCACTCTTCAGCAAAGTTGTATATGATTGAAAGCTTTCGAATGGTGGCAGACTAATGTCATTCTGATCCAGGGTTCAAGAGATATGACAATTATACCTAGCCACTGTACAACCAGATGATTGCACCAAGCAAGTACACCAACCAGAGCACCTTTCTGGCCTGTTCGATATAGCTTATCCGAGACTTTGACCAAAATTTGACCACTGACTAGGTTTTCACCAAGCTTCTTTTGGACCTTAGTATAAATATGACCTTATCCTTTTGGGATCCATTATTCATTTTTCTATCTCTCTTGCTCTCTCTCTTTCTTGAGAACAAATAACAAAGTTTGGGATTTGTATTTTGGATCATTGTTTATATTAAAGCTTTACACTTATCTTTCATTTCTTCTTGTTTTATGTTCTCTTAATCATGTTTAGCCATCCTATCCTAATAGATTTCGTGGCTAAGGTTATGGTTAGTGAGTATGATCTTTAGGTTTGAGATTAACGTAGATTATGGTGGTTTCAATGATTGTTTAAGGTGTTAAGGTGCTAGATCTTTGATTATCTGTTCTTGTGTGATTGAGTTTAATGCTAAGTATCTCCCTTTTTCCTGAAATAGATCCTATACGTTTTGTTACCACTCATGTGTTTGGTGAAATGATTGAATGAGCTTCAAAGCTTGAAAAGGATGATCGTCATAACTCCTTGTACCTACCATTTCATGTTTGATTCTGCCTAATGCTAGAGTACTTTAAGGGTTGAGATATTGCCTTTAAATTTTAATTATGCATGGGAATGTGAGTTGATGTTTGATCTATTGCACAAGAGATTATTGATCTTAGCTTAAGGGATTAGTTATCTAAGTTGCTTTTTGGCTTTAAGAACTTTGTGATTGAATGCTTGCTAGTCATATATACACCATTAACCATGAGTTTAAAATGCGACTAATCAAAGAGATTAGTGCCATGGAATGGATTAGTCTATAATAGTAGTCCTTGCTTCGAGATTAATATATTGATTGTTTCTTTCACACCTTGAACATGATTTCGAACCACCTAACTCATAATGCCTTATTCTTGAATCTTGCTTTTAATAATTCGAATTTGTTAATCATTTTCTCTGTTTTGCTCTGTTTTATTTGATCACCATATTGCTTTCGTTTAAGTCAGAATTGTTTGTCTTGAACTTTTATGGTTTGGTCTCTTTTGTTACTTGTTTGCACTTGATTGTTGTTGAGTATGAACTCCCTTTCAAACCCTCTTTTTAGCCTAGCTTGGTAAGTTTGCTGTATCTTCATTACACCACTTCTAGTATGAATTGATAATCTCTAAGTGCTATGATGACATATGATTTTAGACTTGTGAAATTAAGTCACAAGAGATAAAAACTCTTGTATCATTTGGCATTATTGCCTTATTAGGAGTTTGGTACATTAAAGTTACATTCCTGCTTAGTCTAGACTGTTTATTTTAGTACTAATTTATTTTTGTTTAGATTTTGATTTCGGGTACCATGGAAGATCCACATGCTTACTACATGCCACACATTGGATTTTAGAGTAGCTTCCATAGTAGTTTGAGACACTCCCACAATAATGATGCTTATCACCATAGTCAAAGTTACATGTCACAAAGAGGTTATGGCCAAGAGATGCATTAGCCTTGCACTCCTTTCTATCATCATCACGCTTAAGCTAGTCCATATTCAGCTCTTGACTTGAGTATCAATGCAATGCTGAGGCAAGCCCTTCAAATGCAAACCAGTGCTAAAGAAGATCTAATGAACGGTTTTGCTGAAATCAACGAACAAGATAACTAACATCACGGTGGAGCTGAACCACAAACTGGATGTTCTAACACTAAGAGTGGACATCATTGAAAAAGAAGAAGCTCTAGCATCACATTAACAAATCCAAGCACCAGGAAAGAGTGAAGTCAACCCAATGGAGTATTGTAATGCAATCAATTCCTAGTTCTTCTTGTGATCATGGAGCTGCTGTGAAAAAAAATGAACAAATCTTATATGGTCATCAAGTGAAAGTCATCTATACTAAGGCCAATGGGGACATTGAGTCTAAGTGTGGGGGGAATGGTTTTTGCTTATGCATCACTATTGATGAAAAGGCTGAAGAATAAGACGAGGTCATTGAAGCTTTTCTCTTGAGTATTGCTAAAGCTAAGGCCATTGAAGAAGAGTTTACTGAATCTGAGGTAGAGGAGATACAAGAAGCTGAGATGGGTGAGCATGATAAGTTAGTTGATGTCTACCATTCACTCAAGGAACTTGCTAAGAAAACAACCTTTACAAGCTCAAGTTGAACTTGAGAAGGATCAAGAGAAGTCTCTACTCCATGATGAAGGAGAGCATTTGAAGCATGTGTTCAAGTAAAAACCTTCACTCCCTTATCCTGGCCGCATACTCACTAAGGCCCAAAAGGCTGTTCTATCAAAGTTTAGGAGGGAGATGGAAGAGGCTAGTGTTTCCTTGCCTCTACTTGACAAGTAAAAGAATAAGTGAGATTAATCAAAGACCTCTTTGGGAATGTACAAAAGGTGGAGCAGCTGTTGAGCTCTCTTCTTGATGGTCCAAGTAAGCCAAAGGATGAGCCCAAGGTTCTCCCAGAAACTAAAAAATCCAGGAAAGTTTCTTGTCACTTGTGAGCTTGGTCAATTGAACAAGGTTGAAACATTTTGTGATTCAGTATCTAGTGTTAATGTGATGTCATTGGAGATGACAAATATGTTATGAATCACCAATTTTAAGCAATATGAGTCTACAATCTCTTTTATGAATTCATCATCAAAGATTCAAGGCAACCCATTGGATTCATTGAAGGCTATCCTTTGAAGGAAATCCTAACTGACTTTATAGTGATGGATATAAGGCGGTCTAAAGATCTTCATCTGCTGCTTAGGACTCCATTCTTGAACAGTGCTGGCACTGAGATAGACTTCACCAAGAAGAGGGTCACACTCAAGATGGTGAATGATGAGGTTAGCTATACAATTAAACTCATTGTTAAAACTTTCGTGGAACTATTACAAGTGAGAAGCTAGGTGTTGAGAACCCTCATGAGACTGTTGAGCATGCTATGAGATTCAGTGTTAAGGTCTTGAAAGAAATCGACCCACTAGACCACAATGAGTACCAAGGAGAGAGATTTTATGGGGAAAGCCCCTTGATGATGTTCGAAGGTCTAAGTGTGAGAGTTAAAGATGAACCACCAGTGAGAAAGAAGAAGCTCATGAAGGAAAGAAATAAGGCTTACTCAGGGTCCAACTGCATGTTTGTTAAGAGAGGAGAAGGGAATATGGTTTTCTTTCATGCTCCTCATTGATCACTAAACATGAAAAGTTAAGCTTAGTGACTTTAAACAAGCACACTTAGGAGGTAATCCCATGACTATCCTTGTATATATATGCTCCTTATGCTTTTTATTTATTTGTTAAATGTTTTCAGGTTCCAAAGATTAGTCAAAAGGTTCAACCAAGATGAAAGAGGTTAAAAAGTCAAGAAGTGCTTCTGCATCGAGCAGATGCACAGTGCACAAAGATCGGTGCGGACGAAGGCCTTGCACTCAGATTCAGCCTCACTACCCTTCATCAAAGTTGTAGAAGATCGAGTTATTTCTACTGGTTTCAGAATCAAGTCATTATAACCCGAGGTTGAAAATTTACGGCGATTTCACTGAGGACGGCCCGTCGTACCCTGAGTGCCCTGCTCAATCGCACTGTGGAGGGACCGCCGTACACAGTATACCCTGTTTGATGGCGATTGCACCGTGGAGGGACCAGCTTACACCGTTTTCCCTGTTGGAT